TAAGAACTTGTTCACCATGTAAGAACTTGTTCGTTATGCTTCAGAAGATTGGAGACTGACGAGAATTAGGCTTGGGATGGATTAATGATTGTGCATTGAGCATTGAGTCCCCTATACAGAATTTTATTGTTGTTAACAACCATTTGATCAATAATATGAGAGATGACCTCTCAAAAAAAAAAAAAAAGAATTCCATAGGAAAGAGGATTCTAGTTTGAAATGCAGAAAGTGGAAGTCACCTCCTTCAGCCCATACTATCTGCCTCACCCTTTACACAGAGCAGTTTCTGTAGCCGATGGTTTTGGAAACACAATGTGTAGAACATCACAAACTATTACTCACCAAGCTGGCTTCTCTAAATCAGATGCATTGACCTCAAACACTTTCTCAGTATCCCATTTCTGCTGAATTTCTTTCTCAATCTTCTTCAAAAAGTCTACTTTTGCTGTTCCTTTTCTTTCCTATTGGACACAAAAGAGAATAATCCACTCTACACATCAATAGTCTTGCTTTCAAAAAAAGAAGAGAAACAAAAGGAATTGCATTCACATGGAACTGAGCTGTTTACTGATATATCAGTTTTTCCATGGTTATCCTGAAATTTAATGAACAAGATTAAAGATTCAAGTTATCACAATCTGTCCACTTCAAACATCAGAGAGACAGTTAAAGAATTATTTAAATACACAAAAAACTTTCAAATACTTCTTCAAAATTATATCCTACATGTAACACTGTTGTCAAATATTCCTATTTAGTGAAAATATACCAATACTTAGGAAAGTAAAGGATGGAGCAGTGCCTGCCTGCCTGCCGTGCTGCAATCACGACCACCAAAGAAGGACGCTGAGGCTCAACAGGTAGAGATCACGGCAAGACCAGCCGGCTGCAGGTTTTTTCCAAGGAAGCTGATGAAGAGCTCTCCAAAATGATTAGTAGATTATTCATACGAAATTAAAATGAAACAGAACGGCACACATGTCTGTAGTATACTAGATCTACCTGGCAACATTCCCATGGTCCCTCCAGCCATCCTCGGATGAAAACAAAAGGAAGGACCCGCAGGATGGTTCTAACTCTGATTAAAGCAGGAGGATCAGAAGTCCATTCTCTGCAACTCTGAACAGAATTAGCTCTCACGGCCAGTGTGCTGCAGCTGGAGCGGAACACGGCACCACGGGACAGGCCAGTGTGAAAACTGGGCATCAGTGGACCATACACAAATCTAGTTCTGCTTTGAAAACTTAATATTAAGTTTCTAGAATTTTACTTTCTGGTATAAAATACTCTGAACTGAAATTAAATTTTCCCCCTCTTCTTACGTGCTAACATTTCCAGATTCTGCAGCATTTTCAAATACGAAAATACCTGAGTTCTACTCATACTTTAACAACCTACCGGACAGGTGACCTTGCCAAGCCACCTGACTTGTGGGTCTCAGTCTCCTTTAATTATGCCTCCCTCCATCCTTTCACCCAAAAATTTAAAAAATACTTTTCTAGTCATATCACATAGTAGACTCTTAGCTTTTTTTTTTAATGGTTATACAAATTTGAAATGTTAAGCAAAGAGGAATTCTGTGCAATCAGAAACAAAACAAACTTACCACTATTTTTCCAATAATTAAACTTAAATATACCTCGTGTATTATATAATAAAATAACAGTATTAAAAGTAGGTGAGATTCAGTGTATATCTACCACTAAGCTGTCAACTCTGTTTTACTATATTCAGTTTTTTATATTTCAAGTCAAAGAATGGTTTATTATTTCTTTTTATTCTTTTTAAGCAAGCTTAATGCAGAAGAGAAGGGCAAGTCACAGAATAATGAAATGTCAGCTTACAAGGAGATTAAGTGATGGATTAAAGGAAGAACCTTGCCATAAAGTCTGCGGGGCAATGAAAAAGAATTCCAGAATTTGAAAAGTCATGGATATAGTTTCTTCAGTAACCAAAAGAAAATAAAAGTGACAATATTTTTGTTTCTATAAATCCTGAAAAGATCATAATTGCTGTGAGTGAAAATTTTATCAAAATATGTATCTGATCAAGTCAATGCCTCTTCAGAAGCTCTCCATGTTCTCAGGATCAAGACCATACTCTTAAACCTGACACTCAGGTGCCACCTGGTCTCATCTCTGCCAGAGCCTCCCTCCTGCCCTCCCCTCCATTCCCTCACCACTACCCCTCCAGGCCTAGTAAACCAGATGCATCTTCCAAGATAGGCCAAGACCCCTCTCTCACCTCTGGGCCTTTGTTCAAGTTACCCTCTTTGTCCTCATATCCCACCAATCTCGTGGCCTGGCTATCCCATCCTTCAGGTCTCAGCAAATCACCTGCCTTGTTTCCCCACGGGTCCAAGGGATGCCATTCTCAGTATGTTCCTGCCACTCTTGCCCCTATGACAGCACTTATCACACAGTGACATCAGCATCTGTCTGCCTTCCCCACAGGACTGTTAATTTGTTCATGGTGCGAACTGTGTCTTGTTTCTCATTATGTCCTCAATGTCTAGTGTAAAACAAACTCACAGCAAGTATTTGTTGAGTATTTCAAGATTTTAAAAGACAGCTGTTGCATACTGTGGCCAAAAAGAAGTAACATAGACTAGGAACTGCACTGCATTTTTGAATCAAGGCACTAAGCCATTTGGACTCTTTCCCAAGAATTTCAATGAAACTAAGTGTGCTTGCATAAGGTATTTCCTTTTCCAAGAAAGAATAAGGCCCAACACCTATTCACTCCCTTCCATGCCTGCTGCCAACCACCCTCATTTAGACCTTCAGTGCCTTTGCCCCCTTACTGTAAAACCCTCTTCTTGACAAGTAACCTGTAAGTTACAAATCTCTCTAAGCCTACACATGCTAAGCCCTGTGTTCAATTCTGACAGACAAGGAGAACCATTTGAAAGGAAGCTGTGGTTGCCCGGGCAATACCTGTTCCTTCCCTTCATCCTCGGCAACCAAAGTCCAGTCTCATTTACGTCAGTGCAGCAGAGGGGGTAAGGGTGCTCTGCTACATTTCTAGACGAATTGTCAGTTAGGTTGGAGCTATGTGACCAGGTTCTAGCAAAGGAGCTTTGTGCAGAACAAAATAAGTCATCCCTACCCTTAAAGCAGCCTGTGCAAACTAACAGCCGACAACCTGTAGGTAGAGGGGCTCTCAAAAATATTCTCTTTCAAAACCAGAAGGAAAAATTAACTTTTAGTTTAAAGAAAGATTTTCACATATAATATTAATGTTTGTCTTCATATCAACACAGTTGTAAAATATAATTTGTAATATTTTTTTACAGAGGAAGGGGCCCATGAAAACAAAAGTTATCTAAGGCCTCATGAAGCCTAGTTGAACCTCCAGTCACGGGTCATATGAAATCCCAGTTACCAAGTTGGGTTTTGAACTCCTGGCAGACAACAACTTTTAGAACTAGTATAGTCACCTGAACACAAAGTAGAATGGTATAGGCACAGAAATTACATTAACAAATATCTTTTGCTTAAAAACGACCATGTCACCCCATTTAAAAGAACATGAAAGCAAGTCTTCATAAATTACTTAGAACTATGTGTTTCTTTACACTGTACTGAGCATGCTAAATGAACAAAAGCTTTTCTTCGAGATTTCTGCTTCTCAGAAAAACTTGTTCCTCAAAACTTCAAAGGTCAATTGTAATGAAATCTGATATTGGCCCAGCACTAACTTGTTGTATAACCTTGAGCAAGTCACTTGATCGATCTGAGCCTCAAGTTCTTTACTAGTTATTCAATGAGACAATAGGTTATTTTAATAAATTAAAAGAATCCCCTAAAACTCAAGTGATCAAAAATAAAGAAAATAAAGCGAAATACTCCAGGTTTAAAAAAATGATTATTTAACAAGAACAGAGTTCCTCACCTTTGGCACTTTGACATTTTGTGCCAAATAAGTCTTTGTTTTCAGAGACTGTCTGTAAGATGTCCAGGAGCGCCCCTGGCTCCTACCCACTGGCTGCCAGGGGCACACCCCCACTCCCACCCCACCTCTCCGTTCTAACGACCCGAAGAGTCTCCAGACCAAAGTTCTCTGGGGGAAAAAATCCCCACCAGCAAAGAAACAGCGAACTAGATAAGAAACTCTTTCATATTTTCAGTCATGGTATTCTGCAGTTCTCAGAACCTGCATGACCATTAGCTAATTCGATCTTAACAACTCTAAGAAGGAGGCAGACCAGTGATTGTCATTCCCATGATGATGACGCTGAAGCTCGGAGATCATCTTGCCGCAAATGGTCAAGGTGGACAAAACCCTCATCTTCTGACTTCTTTTTCCATTTCTTCTCGGTACTCTGACTGTATCCTAGCTCCACCATTTACTAGCTGTAGAACCCTAGACAAGTTCCTTAACCTCCACTTCACACCTACCTATAAAATGGGAATAATAATTAGACCTACCTTGTATAATTATTATGAGGATTAAAAGAGAGAATACCCATGAAGGACTTAGCTTAGTGCCAGACCCATGGTAAATGCTCAATGATGTTACCCATTATCACAAAGACAACTAGACATCATTTGCTTTTTATTGGGTGTGAAAATGGCATTGTGGTTGTTTTAAGAGAACTTACTGTTATATCTTTAAAAAAAAAAAAAAAAAGAACTTACTAAAATATGTACAGCGCAGTACCCAGAATTTGCTTATAATGAATCCTGAGGGGTGGAGGGGAGGGTCCAGGAGAGGTATGTATGAAATAAGACTGGCCCCAAACTGTCAATGACTGAAGTTGGGTGATGGATGGTAAGTGGAAGTGTATACTACTACTATTACCACTACTTTGCTCACTACTTTAATATTCCAAGTGAAAAATTTAAAAACAATGTATTTGTCAGAAGTTGGCTCTTACCCTTATTATATCACATATCCAGGTCCCCTCTAAAAGTCTGATATGTAACAAAAAGGAATTAGAACTGTCAAAAACTCTATAAAATAAATACTCCAATGATATGAAGAAAATTAAATTGTTTTTTATGAATTCAATCATAAAATAAAATCTAATTTTCTATCTTACTAATTTGGTAAGATTTCCTTTAGAAAGAGAAATTTTTCCTTTTGTGAGGATGTTTGCAAAAAAAATTTCTCAATTAGTTTACAATTGGAAATAGTACAATGATCGAAGTCTGCCTCTTGGTACACTGATATCTTATTTTCTCCATCAATAAAACAGGGATAATAATAGCACCTACTTTTATAGGATAGTTCTACATGTAAATTATGTAAAATACCAATGCACAAAATAAGCAATCAATACATCTTATTGCTACTGTTACTTGTTTTTCCTAAAGGGAGTTCTTAATGGCATTTTTCAATAAAACTAACTTTAATGTCAGGGCAGTATCCTGACTGTTTAAAACTTCTAGGGAAGCCAAAAAGTGAATAAAGTAAAACAATAATATCTACCAAAAACACTGCCAGTTTCCTTAT